CCCATGTACTTAAGTATAGTTAAGATTTTAAAAATATGTATCTTTTTTGTTTTTTTAAGATACAAACTCTTGCTCTCTTGCCCAGGCTGGAATGCAGTGGTGCAATCATAACTTACTGCAGCCTTTAAACTCCTGGGCTCAGGTGAACCTCCTGCCTCAGCCTCCTGAGTAGCTAGGACCACAGGTGTGTGCCACCAGGCTCGGCTAATTTTTTTAAATTTTTTTTTTTTTTTAGAGATAGGGTCTCACTATGTTGCCCAGGTTCATCTTGAACTACTATCCTCAAGTGATCCTCCTCTGATGGCCTCACAAAGCACTGGGTTTATAAGCGTGGGTCACAGAGCGTGGCCCCCTAAAATATATATCTTATGCATTAATATGAAAAGCAATAATTGAGAGATAAGAGTCTCATCTGAAATCTTTGAAACTCTGTAAGTCTATTTAAATACCTTCTACTAAAAATAGCCATAACACAGGAAGGAAATTCATATATAGAAGCAGAATGATTCCAAGAAAAATGTTAGTTACATATTCATTGGTCTAACCGTTACGTATATCTAGGCCATTACAAAATAGTAGGTTTGGGAAGAACCAAGGAAGATTCATTGATTTATAATGCAAACAGACAGCATCAGCTGGTTTGGATGTCATCCTAGTGTTTTTGGTGTTGTTTCTTGGTTGTTTTATTTGTTGCGCTGCTGGGTATATGGAGGTGATAGATCCAACTGTGTACCACTGTGAAATCAAGGAACTTATTATTCGATTTGTGTTTGAGGAAATAGGTGCCTTACTAAAACAGTAACAACAAAAAAATAAACACAGTAGCACAGATAAATAATTACTTAAGAAAGGCATCAAAAATTTTATCTCATAAAATTTGAGATGAGGAAATATTATCAGAAAATTTGATTGGCCATGTGGCCTCACATAATGGCCAATAGTAATGGAAAATTTGGTAATTATTAGTAAGATTTGGTCTACTCAGTATCTGTTGGAATCCCAGTAGTGATAGACATCAGTAGTGTAACTAATACTGGTTAATCAGTGAAGCCACGGGAACTGTACATATCAATGTTGTGTTTTGACAGTATTGTTTCTTTTTTTCTCTAGACCAGTGTTTCTCCACTGGGGGTGATTTTACTCCCAGGAGACATTTTTGATTGTTCTGAATGGATGTGAGGGGTTTGCTGTGGGAATCTACTGAGTAGAGGTCAGAAATGTGCATCCTACACTTAACACAACCAGAAATGTCAGGAGTGTAGAGTTTGAGAAACCCTGTTCTAGACAGAGATACAAGAAAAATCATGTGATAATTAGATGGCAGTTTTTTGAGGTGGGATCAAAGTAATGACTTTTAAATTGGTAATTTTAAGGGAGATATTAAGCTGTGGCTTTCAGCGTCATTAGTTTCATGTACTTTTCTTCTTTTTAAGAAGAACCCTGCAAAGAAGACCAGCATGCATGAGTAGGATCATTTGACCTTGACTTCCTCTCCTGTGTGTATTGCTGAGTATAAAATAAAAGTGTGACCCAGTTTTCTTACACTTTTTGGATGATACTTCTGATTAAGACTTTTTTGTTCAGATAAGTTAGTGTCACTTATTTGGCCATTGCCAAGTTTTTTTTTTTACTAGGAAGCAATTGTTCCTTTTTAAGATAGAGGATAAAAACTGATGGCTACTGGGGACTCCATTCAGCATAATTGCTTTCATTGGTGCATTGTGCTTATGAATAATTGAATCTCATCGTCTTTTGCTTGGACATGTCCTTCCCCTCACTATAGCAGTTACCATTTCCTGTTGCTAGATACCTTCATATTTATCTTATTTTTATCATCCTCTATGAAAATATTTAGATACTTATTATATCC